CGTAGGGGTTCCTGCGATTGCGTAGAGCTTTTTAAGGGCAGTCCATTTTGTTTTATTCATTCGCGAAGGAGGAGTTGTGATCGCATAGTGTGAGGAGCTGGGTCATCGTGAACGCGGGGAGGTGGTCGCGTTCGCATAGAGTTAAGTGGACCTGGGGTCTTCGCTGGATTTTGTTCATTGCGAACGCGGTGGGAACTCCACGATTACGTAGAGTTAGTTGCCTGGGCATCGTGTTCGCGGGGGTTTTTGTGCGTTCGCATAAAGTAATTTTTGGGAGCTGAGTTTTTGTGCTTCGCGATCGCGAAGGTTTTCCCACGATCGCGGTGAAGGAATTATGCATGGGCAGAAGGTTTTTTAACCCATCCTATCCGCGATTTAGGGACTTATTTCCTCCATAGTTGGTCGTTTTTGGAGCTTTTTGAAGGAGATTGAAGAGGGATTCAAGAGGAATTACTTGGAGGTAATATTCTTGGACTTAAAACTCGATTATTATGTGAATTGCACCTAGAAAATCATAGAAATTAAGCCAAAATTCAAGAACTAGGGGTTGGAAATTTAGACTTTTGATTGGGGATTTGGAGGACCATTTGGGGTCGGATTTGAGAACTTTTGATATGTATGAACTTGTGGGGAGATAACAAATCTATTGATGTAAAAATTATTGAATTCCGAGATGTGGGCCCGGGGTCGGGTTTTGGAAATTTCGGAATTTGTGTAGTATTTTGATTGTTTTTGCTTGGACTTCATTCCCTTAGCATATTTTGACGTCCTCGTTCTGATTTTGGTTAGATTCAACGCAAGTGGAGGCCGATTCAAGGGGCAAAGGTGTCGCAAGTTAGAGATTTGACCGGTTCAAGGTGAGTAATGATTGTAAATGATGTTCTGAGGGTTTGAAACCCCAGATTTTGGTTACTTAACTTTTCACTGGTTTACTGCTTTTAAATGATTTTACTGCTTCATTATAGAATGCTTTGTGTCTTGCGTGTTTTCTTTCTTTCAGTTGTTATTTACATTTGTTATTCACTGAGTTGGAGTACTCACTTTACTCGCTGCACCCTGTGTGCAGATTCAGGTGTAGCTGGTTCCGCTCCCGAGTGCTGATCCCTCCAGCTTCAGGCGGACATTCGGAGTTCACGAGGTAGTTGTTGGCATCCGCAGCCCCGTGTCTCTACTCCTTTATCACTTCTATCTCTTTTCAGACAGTTGTACTAGTTTATTGACTTAGCGGATTTGTATTATGACTTATAGATGCTCATGACTAGTGACACCNTTATAGATGCTTATGACTAGTGACACCCCGGTATCAGGCTGTGTTAGGTTGTTCTTCCGCTTATTTATGACATTATCTGCTACTTTGGATTATTTTATCATGTTTCGAATGTTTCTTATGCTTAACTGTTAATAATTGGAAAAAGGGAAAGTGTCAACTGACCTTGTCTTCACGAGAGGTGCCATCACGATCGAGTTCGGGTTTGGGTCGTGACATAACAACACCAAAACCACGAATTACACCTCAAATCAAACTCAATAAACTTTTGAACTTCCAACTTCCAAAAATCGTGCCGAACCATATCAAATTAACTCGAAATGACCTCAAATTTTGCACACAAGCTCCAATTCACCTAACAAAACTATTACAACTCCGGAAACAACAATCCGAATCCGATATCATCAAAGTCAACCGCTAGTCAAACTTATGAATGTTCCAAACCTTCAAGTTGCCAACTTTCGCCAATTAACGCCAAAACCTTCTAGAAGCCTTCAAAGGCAAATCCGGGCATATGCCCAAGTGCAAAATCACCATTCAGACTTAATGAAACCATCAAACCTCTGATCCAAGGTCAAATACAAAAGTCCAACTTGGTCAACTCTTCCAACTTAAAGCTTCCTAGTTGAGAAGCATTCCTCCAAATCAATCCCGAATCACCTGAAAACAAAAACCGACGATTCACACAAGTCATAATACATCATATGAATCTACTCAAGATTTAAAACAGCTGAACAAAATGCAAATGCTCAAAACGACCGGTTGGATCGTTACAATTTATTAACTGCCTTTACTTGCTTTATGACTTTGTATGTTATTAGATAGCTACTTTTATCCACTTTATATCTTTAGTTATGTAATTCTCTTATTGCATTTTATTTTATAAGCGCCTTAGTTTGTTGTAGTTCTACATTTATAGTATATTGTGTTAGATCGGGTTACATGCCGCAATGGTTATTGGTATTATTGGGCGAGATTGGGTTTCACGCCGCATATATATATATATATATATGGATCGGGTTGAGCGCCACAACGGAGAAGACATATTAAATGTTCATAACTGTTGGTTCCATGTTGTATTGAGAAAATTGAGCTTGATGTTATTCTGGAGCCCTCTATTATGTATTTCTTGTTCCAGTTTTCAAGTTATACTTGTTTTTTTCTCTATTTATCGTTATTTCATTATATTCGTACCGGTTTATAGTGAGTGCCTTGTTATAGCATCGTCATTACTTCGTCGAGGTTAGGCTCTGCACTTACGGAGTACATGAGGTCGGTTGTACTCATGCTACACTTATGTACTTCTTGTGTAGATTCTGGTGTTGGTCCCAACAGTGTCTAGCAGAGTTCTGGTCGGATCATATCTACATCTGGAGACTTAAGGTAGAGTTGCATGACGATTGCAGCCCCTGAAAGGGGGTCCCCTTTCTTATCTAGTTTTACTGTTTATTTTATTTCAAACACTTGTATTTTTATTCAAGCATTGGTTGTAGCACTTCTATTATGCTCATGTACTTGTGACACCAGATTTCAAGATTTGGTTTAGTTAGTGTGTGGAGTATTTTTTGTGTTTTTGACTCTTTACAACTTTATTTCTTATTAAATTGCTTTCAAATTAGTTTAAAAATGAATAGTTACGTACTAATATTGGCTTGCCTAGCAAGTAAAAATCAGGTGGCATCACGGTTCCGCAGTAGGGATTTCGGATCTGACATCTGTATTCCACATCATGACCATTCCTCATGAGTTGCCTTGAGTCGCGACTTGGACAAGGTGAGAGAAGCCAAAGTCCCTAACCAAGTCATTGTAGTCTGACATCTTGGTTTCCAATAGGGCAACCAAGAAAGGCTTATTGTCGTCTAGCATCAATCTGAAGGTTCTTCTAAACTCATCGTTCCCTGCTCCTTGGCAGTTCCACACGATTCATTGATTTGTTGATGGTTTGAGGACTCCCTCCCTAAACATGGGTTGGGATGCCATGTTCGTGTTGGCTTGATTAGTCTAGTGGTTGGAGTACATTGTTGGAATCATTATTATCCCATACTTGTATATCATTGTGGGACTCATTAATTTCCTTATATTTATCGAGCATTTCCTCAAATCCTGAGGGCAAAGCAAGATGTGTCTTTTTTCTTTTCTTTCCTTGAACACCAGCATTTTTTATGTCCTTACCATGCCGTATTCCACTCTCCTGGTTGTTGAGGACCCTTCCTCTTCTTCCTCCTCGTCCATCTGTAGTTGAGCTTGCTAGGAGGGTGGCTAATTGGAAAGGATGTTGCTGCATCCATGATTAATTATTGTGCTAATGTTTTTGTTTTTCCGTTCATCTTTTTTATCGCCAATGAATTGATTAAGAACGATCTGTCGAATCAAATAAATGATAAGTTTTTAGTGATTATAAGGTGTAAGTTTTTACTGATTATAAGGTGTTTTATACAGGAAAATATGTAGTATTACTTTTAATGAGATTATTTTGTATACTTTTTATAAAACGAAACTCATCGAAAATAGTTATAGTAATATACTTGAGTTTATTTTATTAATATGATTCGAATTGTGTTCTTTTTTTAAAGATGTTGTTAGGTATTTTATTTATTTGTTCATTTTTTAAAGTGTCACTTTGTTTACGAAAAATCATACTTACCCTACTAGTGATATCAGATATGAGTAGATACTTGTTTTGTTAATCCATCTTGCCACCCCACTTGAGCGTGAGTAAGTTTTTACTTTAAATAAGGCCTCTTCATTCTTTAACCCGCTGTAACAAGGAAATAGAAATATTTCAATATAGTAATTTCTATTGTTATTTATGGAAGAAAGAGGTAAAATCAAGGGTGGTGGTGAGATCTTCAAGAATCAAAAGGTAAAATAACTTGAGACAAAAGGTGCGGAACGGCCAAGCAAGGGCCACCTCAATTTCTTACCCAGCATTTATGTTGGAGTCCGTGACATCCTTTTTATCCCACATTCATTCGTTTTTCATTTTAGAGCACCGAAAGAAAGCACTTTTCCAGCAACTTTTGACCTGAAAAAAAGTATGCTAATCAGAGATAAATTGGATTGTTTATTTGAATAACCTTTGACAGTGTTAAATTTCCACTGAGAAATTAGTAGGTCGAGTAATTTCTTCAAAATTTTTGTTTTATGCACAAGTAATTTTTTGTACAATCGGGTTAAATTAATTTACTGCAGTTGGTAATTCTTCATTTCAAGCTTATATTATAATTTAAAGATCAAGAGCTCGTTCGATCAAATTGTCAAAAACTACTTATTTTAAAAAATATTTTTATTTAAAAGTATTTTTGGCTAAACGAAAAAAAATACAAGCGCACCTTGTTGCCTAACGATCAACGAACTGAGCTTTTTGGAGATTAGGGTTTAAATACCAATAAAAATAAAAGACGCTAAGTGATGGTTTACCATATATTCAAGCATGTATTTATATAGGTAAAAGCTAGCAAATACTTATTCTATCTGTCTAAGTATTGATATGTAGAATTATTCGATCTGTATATTGGTGAGAGTTACCATATACAACACTGTTATTTATTAAATAAAGAAAGAAAAAAAAAGAATCTCCGTAGGATACATATAAAATAGATATAAAGTGTATGGATAAACGTATAATTAATATTATAATGTTACTGGGAAAAAGCTTGGCTAGCTGCTGTCAAGATTTAAAAAATGGGAGGATTAAAATATTTGTTCAAACTTCAATGGCACAGACCACGCATATATTGTTTGGAACTTGGTGGTATGATTCTCTAAACTACTAAGCATCTTAGATCTGATCGAAACCCTTCTGTTTCATAGATTCAAAGAGAGAAAGAAAGCAAAAAGTCCCTATTTTGCAAAACTTGGTTTACTCAAAAACTGAAAAATCATCAGCAATTGAGAAATTAATAACAACCCTGCTGCAGTTTTTTGAAGTTTGCATTGGATGCAACCCTCTGAATTTTTTCAAGGCACCAAAGTTTCGAGCAAATCTTTAAAGAGTGCACGTACCCTCCCCAGGTATGCTTATTTATGTTGCCATTTTCGTGCTTCATGCTTCAAGCTTTTAATCTTATTTTTCTGAATAATGGTGGTGTGCCGATCAATTTCGTGCAACTAAATTGTTTACTTGCTGCTTTCCATAGTACATTATATATTTATATACCGAGTGATTCTACGTACCCACCGAAGAGATTACTTCATCTTCAACCACGCATTAATGATCTTTTGTTTTAAATTCATTTTCATATACTTGGTTATGCAATTTGGTTGCTTGTAATTGTATTCATGTGTTTCGTTTTTCCAATTTGCAATATTCCAACTTTATGCTAGGAGGAGAGATGCTTCTTTTGTCCCCTTTAGTGTTTCTTACTTTTCTAGTTATGCAGCCCAAGGTAAATTTAGCTCACTTTATTACCCAATCATCACTAGGATGAAAGAATAAATTATAGGCAAATTGATGGCCTGGCCAAGCTTTTTTAGCCGAAAATTGATGGCCTGACCAAAAGTATTTTTAGCCGAAAATTAAGGTGTTTGGCCAAGCTTTTGGAAGGAAAAAAATCGCTTTTGAGGAGAAGCAGAAGCAGTTTTTGAAAAACAGAAAAAAGTAGTTTCTATCCAAAAATAATTTTCTGATAATCACTTTTGAGAAAAATATACTTAGAAACAGTTTTTAAAAGATTGGCCAAACACTAATTACTACTCAAAAGTGTTTTTCAAATTGATTAGCCAAACTGCTTCTCACTACTAAAAATACTTTTTTTAAAAGTACTTTTGAAAAAAATGCATTCCTCAAAATAAGTTGATTATAAAAACTTGGCCAAACATGCTATGAACTTCATAAACGAATGTTACGAATATAACTGAAATCATTCCTTTCTATATATTAAAAAAGATTTTATAATGTATAAGAATATAACAAAATCATACTAGCCTTTTAACCTGGCATTCATGACTGAATATAGTAAATTTTCAGTAGTAAGAAACTACCAAGGAGATTGTTGTGGATGGTAGGTCCACATAGCTGTTTACCTGGCTCTAGCATAAAATACCATAGACAAAATGTTTTTTCAATAAGAAAATGTTGGACCTATCCTTGTTAAAAATATCGTGCAATCCATTAACTTATTGTCATTTTGACTTGTAGTGCATCTGTAACGCTACCTTACTCTCAACAAGACCCCACCCTGCTTGAATTTAAGTTAACATACATTATAAATTTCTGTTTCCATGATTAATGTAATTTAATTTATTATAGTATGTTATTTATTCTTTATTTTAGATTACTAAATAATGCGTATTAAATGGAGCTTCATGTAATTACATTTAATTAACCCGGTTATATTGACATCTCTTACCCTTTCATTGTACGTGTTACACACTCTAATAATTAAAGAATCTGAAAGTCTATGTTACTAAATTAGGATTAACAGTTACTTGCTGCTATAGGTAATTTTAATTTGGTCATACCCCACTTACTGCACACAAATTAAACCCTTAAAAGAAGCATCAGAGAACGATTTTTTTTTTTTTTAAAAAAAAAAAAGGTAGAGGGTTGCTTTATGTGAAAAAATTACTGCTAAAGTGCCGTACTTTGACCAAGTCAAATAGCATTAGCAAAACAAAAAGACAAGCATTAACCCTTGAATTTGTTTTATCTTTAGAGTAATGCAAAGTTCACGTGAATGGTACTGTGTAACTCCTAGGAACTTTAATGATCTTGATTTCTTCAAAACTGAATCCGTTTAATCTTTTAATTTGTAACTGTCAAATAAGTTATTAAGAATTACTCGGTGGCATTTGCCGCAGTCTCTTCCATTAAATTAACATTAGAATTACACTTAGCATGTTCATACTGTTGTTTTATCAATGCGGCTTTCGGTATAGCAGTACCTAGGTCTAAAGTTAAGGAGTTCCTCATATTAAAGATATCAATAGTAATAAAAGTGATTTAACTTATGTACACTGATTATATAAAATATTAATACGCTATTAATGTAACTTAACCCATTGTAGTATGTCATTGTTCCTATTTTCTAGCTTAAAACAAATAAATCATGATCAATTTAGTAATTAGTTGCATGTACGTAGTTACCTTCTAAATGATTAGACAATGTAAAAAATATTACCCTGCACTAAAGTTAAAATGGATAATAATAGGATTAAAGGTGTATATACTGATATTATAAGATTTTTTTCTACTATTAGTGTAATTTAAATGGCTATAGTATATTATTATTCTATTTTTCATGGTGTCATATCAAAAAACATTATGAAGAGTTACTTGTAGTTGTAAGTTAAATATAACCTTGTTGAAACAAAAACGTATACATGTTTGTGCACACTTTTATAGAGTTTAAGTTCTACTCATATATAATACTTTATATCAATTTTTTACATTATCAGGTTAAGTTAACTTATGACGATATGTAACTTCTCATAGCAAGTCCAGTATGGTGATTGAAAAATAAAATAATAACCGAATTATATTATATTTACGATTAGTGTAAAGAAATTTTTTATCAATAAATTTTAACCTATGATAGTAAGTTGTTACAATTTTTATCAAATTAACAATTAATTCTTAGTAAAAAGTTTACCTATAATTACCTAATAAATTATATAATTGTATATAAGTATTTTATACATAAAAATTAAACCTATAATAACTTGCTATAGCCTATTAAATTGAAATGAATTAAATTATATTTGCGATTAGTGTAAAGAATTTTTTTAATCAATAAACTTTAACCTATGATAGTAAGTTGTTACAATTTTTATCAAATTAACAATTAATTCTTATTAAAAAGTTTACCTATAATTACCTAATAAATCATATGATTGTTGTAATTATATTTATAAATAAAACTTAAACCTATAATAACTTACTATAACCTATTAAATTGAAATGATGGTGCAAATACTCTAAACAATCAATTGTTATAACCCAAAAAAGTATTGACGAACTTTACCGTCCATGTTACCATATGTTTGAATAGTAATATAAGACCGTGAAGAATTAGAAAGGGAAAAAAAAACAAATCTGGGAAACACCCCATGTGGAATCTCCACATACACTGCATTTGGGAGTAGATTCTTGTGTTCCATTTTTATGCCTCTCATCTTACCTCGTGGTCATACTATACTTTACTGTCAGCATGGGAAGCTTGGGCTAATTATAATACTTCACTTGACAACACTAAATGGTACTCCCTCCGGTCCACAATAAGTGATCAATTTATTTATTTTATTTTGATCCAAAATAAGTGTCCATTTATATAATCAAGAAAAAATTTAATTTATTTTTATAAAATTACCTTTATGTACATATCCCTAAAAAGTTTTCTTACTCCTCATATTAAATATTTTGTATTTTCTTAATGGGCGTGTTAAAAGCAATTTGGTCACTTATTATGGATCGGATGGAGTATACAAATATAACATTTCTATTCCACATTGGAGTTATACAACTTGATTATCACGCTATGAATGTAAGATTCTTGTTCTAAAACGATTGAAAAGGTACATTAATATATTTGCTCAATGCAAGATCTCGTATTCCTTTTTTTATAACTATAATTTTCAAGGTAATTTGCGCATCTCAATTATTTCATCAGACTTTGTGTTACTCTTTTTTTTTTCTCACAAAGTTACATACTGCACATACCTAGACTATTCCACCGGATCATTCTTTATTAGTCTCTTATTGGCAAACGCCTAGCATATCGGTTGTTCAATCAGCCCGAAATTCTCAAGCATGAACTTTAAATTATCTTCATTTCGATTTAAATAGTTATATACGTTGAATTGTAAATAGGATTATACGACCAATGCAATTTAAATGTATAGTGAGTTATTCTATTCTTCAAATTATCAATAAACTAGTAAACATATCCGCGCTTCGTGCGGTTGTTTCGGAAAGAACGTAGATGGCTTTAAGAAAATAATTTTTTTTATGAGTTCTGTTGAAAAAATAAAATACCATAAGAAATAGTAAATTACATTCTTATATAAATAAATCACCAATGATAATTTAGCCAAGTAGAATAATGAAAGAAAAAGCACAAATATATTTGCTTTTAAATCCTTTTTGAATGGGAATTTATGGTAGAATTCAAATAAAACTATCACACATCACAAAATATTACCATTCAATACTTCTAAGTTACTATCAAATCTGAAAATTCTAATTTCACATTTATTCCTCGAATATAACAACAACAAAAAATCGGTTGATTGGAGAGAAATAATGAGAAATGGTCAATTACCAAAACAAAAAAGGGAAAATCATAAGTTTAATGAGAGGAAATAAAAAGTAGAGTTTCTATTAATATTATCTCGTTTAATAGTCAAAATAATTTGAATATTTTACTCATCAATTTGCTCTAAAATAACTTCTCCAGGTAAAAAGGGTTAGATTCCGATTAGGGTTTTCGATTAATATTTTACTTTAGTTCTTTTAATTCTAGGATAATATAAGGCAAAGGAAATTATCTTCTACTAATTTTAGAATTGTATTAACCGATGCTTAAGAACTTTACATTTCTTATAGGATTATTCTTACTATATTGCATTGTAGCAAATATATTTGGTTGAATTTCTCAAATAATAATTCCATTATATATATTTTTATTAATAAATTTATATGCTTTCGAGTAAATGGTTTTTAGGTGGATATTTAGTTTTTATTTGATTTTATTTCTTTTATTTGAAATTCAATTTTTATACATGTAATATAAGATCCATAAAAGAAAAACGAAGTTAATCAAAATAGAAAAAAAAATAAAAACAAACAATGCCAAATTTGCTTGTTTAAAGAAAATTGAACTAAAAGAAATCACGTTGTACTTTTGATTTGCTTTATTTTATTTTTAATCTAAATTTTATACATGTGATATAGGATGTGATCCCAAATTCTTAGACTTTTTTAAGGAAAACAAAATTAATTAAAGTAGAAAAGATTAAAAGAACAAACAATGCCAAATTTCTATGTTAAGACAGAATCGAACAAAAAAAATCAT